AATAATGAGCAGAAAAGTGCACTTTTTATGCTCCAGAACAATTCATGCACACTTTCGATAGAGTGGCCCGTGTTGAAATCAAATTAATTATGTATCATTTTGTAGCTCTTTTTTTGCTCTATCGATTGGTATATAAAAGAGCTTGACTTACACGTAAAAGTAGATCAACCAGTTCTAATTATTGTTCGGATGTGAGGTACTGAATAATACCCCGGTGAACGAACATTATTTTTCATGATTAAATCTTTAATGAAAGAATAGTAGTTTTTATATGAAACCATGCAGTATTAAACGCTCTTTCTAACCAATATGGATTGAGCTTGAAACATTGCCTAAAAGTTGTATATTTTGAGCTAATACTAGACGACTATGAGCTCAATGAGCCTTCAATACTTTTTTGCAGGTATTCTCCCTCAAAATGTCTTATAATCCTCACAGCTTGACTTGAATTTATTACCAAAAGAATCACCACATTTTTCTGAATAGGATGAGCAATAAGGTGACTAAAATTATCATATGGCCCAAATCGGCTCCTGATGCGCCCCTGTCCTTTCATATATGATCGTAATGCATCAGCAGAATGATATTAAATTTATATCCTAATTATATCATTGTTCTTCGTACTCGTCAACTTGATATCCAAAGTTGACTCATAACTAAAGTTTCTAGGTCGCTCTTAACTTACTTGTAATTGATATCTACTCGTTGATATCATTCTTAATACTGAAGATCTCTGATCTATTAAATAAACCTGCTAAAGAATCTTCAAGCAATATTCTATTTGAATACTCCAGTAAAATATGTAACACGAAACTTAGAAAATTTCTTATGAATACACAGATCGAACCATTTCGTTTTCAGTATTCATAACAAACCCAACAAAGTTTCGTGTGTTCCATTTGAAACACGGACATGTTTTAAATTTTGCAAGATACGTGAAAAAGCTTCTTTCGTCTATTTTGAGACAAATCTTCTAGGTTTCGCAATGAAACTCTTTTTGGTGTGCACTATGTATTACAACGGCGACCCCATACAGACATGAAGTCACCAATATTGGTTCGAAAATGGACAACATAAATAATAATTTCAATACGTTTAATAGTTCAAGCATCACTCTACGCTCCGCCAATATGGAGCAGAATTTTAAAGCGATCTACATCGCTTGCCAAATAGCCACCCGTAGATTCGAATAAAGCCACAATTAAATCTATAGGTTGTTGCAGTTCTGGACATCAAGTATAATTACTGAATCAATGGCTATTACAAAGTATCAATAACATTTACTGCTTCATTTTTCGAGTATATCTGCTTGTATGGAAAAATTGATGTCACTATTACAAGTTATCATGCATCATTTTGAGTATGATTTCCTTTTCTTGCTAATGTTTCTAGATTTCTACTGCATAAATTCTAATTATTTTGAAAATATTATCTAATAATTTCTCCTCATATGTAAGTCTCTGTCTTTCTTTTTCGTTTGGAATTCGATTGAAAGAAAACGTCGCATTATAATGAATCCATCATTTCTACAATCGAGTTTCTACAGTTAACATGATCGATCTTGGTAATCGTTTAAGCATGTTAATGCTTTCAGTACATCTTTTCTGTAGTTTCAGTTTTTTCTTTCAATTTTACGTACTTACTTTTGAAAATAAAATCAATTTTTTAAAAAATCGTTTATGGTTCATTTTAACGTTTAACGAAGAATTTTGCCCTCAAGAGAAGATCATGACTCATTTTATTATCATTATAACCCTCAAGTGTCAATGTCCTTTTGAAGTACTTCATCGGAGGAAAAAATCTCTTAATTCTTATCTAAACATTTAATGTCAACACAGCTAGATTTCAAGTGGTGTGCAATAGAGACTACTTCCTTCGACTATTTTCTCGGATTTTTAATGAAAGATTAATATTGCACTACGGTCATGAGATCTTATCTTCTTCAATGAAAACCGATAGAGACAGTAAGTCGCTTTCATAATGTCTTTCAGCGACAAGCTGAGATACAGGTAAGTAAGAAACACAGAAAATCTGTTCGCACTCTATATGTCTTCTAAAAACAAAACCCTTTGGTAGAATCTCTCAAGATTAAACAATAAATAGATCAAAGCTTGAAAGATTTATTTCTGAATTCAGGGTTGTTTTGTTTTGAAATATTTATTGTCTTAGATGTCTCGTAAATACAGATGAGCATAAGTCACTATTTTTGATTTCATAAAAACATTCATATCTGATCTTCTATTTATAGCATGCATAAAATAAAAATTCTAGCTAGTTATTAAATATGCTTTTGCTCATGATTCCGGCCCGTTTATTTCTATATATAAATATTTTGATAAATCCTATTTCGAATAATAACCAGAAGACATAAAAATGAACTTTAATTCATTTATCAAAATGACACACATTGACCAAAGTTTTAGAACAAATGAATTTAAATTATACGATTCAGTTCCATTTCTTGTTGAAGTACTTGTCTAGTAACATCCAATTACTTTGAAATGAAATCCGATTTCTAGCAGATTATTTAAATGTTAAAAATGGGTACATCATATTGTATTTTGTTTTTTATAAAAAATGTGAATTTTCTTTTTAGCCATTAATAAATCTACTTGAAATTTTCATGTTTCATACGGATATCAATGGGAATTTTCGATTAAAAAGTCATATTAAAATAATTCGATTAGATTAAAAAACTTGCTTACTGAATATTGAAAATTAGTCCTAGCGTTAAAAAAGAAAATTCTTTTAAAACTGCACTCCAAGTATAATGATTCGATACACGAAGTAGAGTTTGCTTTGATTTTTCTCTTGTTGACATAGAATATTTGAGTCGTAAAAATATTTATGAATTAGCAGCGTTACACGGACCAAACGAGAGTTTCTGAATTTTTTTAAAATAAGCCTGCACTCTAAATTTTCATTTACCACGTAAGTTTGTTTTATATGGACCAACCAAGTTAAGACACTACAGCCAAGCCTGATGCAACAATGTTTCTACTTTTTAGATTTATCAGAAGTGTCGAAAAACATATTTTACAATAGGGGTAGAAGTTATGATCTTCATAAGGCAATAAATCATACTTGTAATATACTTATTCTCTTCCTTTATGCTGAAAAAAAGATCACTTTTCACCAATGGACTCATCGAATTTCTTGCGTTCTTTGCATAGAACGCAAACAAAAAAATAAAGATACATTTTTCTCTCGGAGCCAGGATTACTTCTATGTCTTTTCTATTCACAATGAGTAAAATACGTCTATTGGTTTAACTAATTCTTTTCTTGTTATTTGTCATCATATGATGACAAGGCAGATTCCGTTTTGTATCATAATAATGTCCTCAAAATAACTTTAATCTATTATTAAGATTTTTTACTACTCGACTCAACAAGTCAAAAAATGGTCAAAGCTCTCCATTGGACTAGACCACGAGAATTTAATGGAAAAGTTACTGAGAAGGATTTGGTATTGATCCAAGAAGATATTTCAGAAAATCTTAAAGATGGAGGTGAGTATTGTCTTATACTTATTAAATTATCAAGATCTTTCTGTTTCATTAGAAGTGCTCTGTGAAGCTGTTTATCTCACAGTCGATCCATATATGCGGTAAGTCTATTTCATATGTTAGAAAAAACTATCTTGGTTTTTAGTATCCATGGCGAACTCCTTGGCAAGAATAAGACCATGTTTGGAGAGGCCTGCTGCAAGTAAATAAACATTTCTGAAGATTCTGATATGATTCTTCTTTCGATTTGTCAGAGTGATAAAAACACGTAACGGTGAATTTCCTGTCGGAACACTTGTCAAATCGAGTAGTGGATGGCGAACTCATTTTATATCACCAGACGGCAAAGATCTTCAACCAATTTCATTTGATTTAGGTTCTCTTTCACCATCGGTTACGCTCGGTGTACTCGGCATGCCTGGGTATGGATATTAAAAACTATATATCATGATTATGCATTTATCTTTCTTTCTCAGAATGACAGCTTATTTTGGACTTCGTTTGTGTGAGCCCAAACCACGTGAAGTATGCGTTGTTAATGCAGCTGCCGGAGCAGTTGGATCGATTGTGGGTCAATTGGCTAAACTCAAAGTAATTCGTCTTTCTTGCTCGTATTGATAGACTCTGTCTCTTTTTTGTCAGGGTCTAACAGTAATCGGTTTTGCTGGTAGTGATGATAAGTGTGATTGGTTAACAAAAGAACTCAAATTTGATTATGCTTTTAACTACAAAAAAATATCCATTACTGATGCACTTAAAAAGGCAGCACCCAATGGAGTCGATGTCTTTTTCGACAATGTGAGTTGTGCTTTTGTGTCTAGCTATTCATCACTTGCACAGCTGTGTATTTATGCAGGTTGGTGGTGATTTCTTTCATGAAATGTTGACTAAGCATATGGCTCAATATGGACGTGTATGCATATGTGGTTCAATTTCTAATTATAATGACACGGAAACGAAGAAATGTGAGTTCATGTAGGGCTTCATTATGTTATTCCCTCTAGTTTGACATTTTTTCTTCTGATAACAGATCCTCAACTCAACATGGATATTATTATGAAGGAGCTAACACTTCGTGGTATTTATATCACCACGTACATCAAGGAATTTGGTACTGCTCTTGCTGAAATGGTTCCATTGGTTAAAAAGGTAAAATTAAAGCTATGTATCTCTGCAGAAAATATTGTATCGTGTCACAATGGCATAGAAAAGTAGAATTCGACTAAAAATATCTTTGCTTCAATGAGAAACTTTTCAAGAGATGAGATCAGATAAATAAGCCTTCCAAAAATAAAAATCTCGGAGCTTTCTATGTTTTAATCCTGTTTCTGTTGCAAACCATCATATCTTGTATATCTTTCATATGGTGTGAATGTAGAGATCGAAAACAATTTTTAACAATTCAATTTAATTTACATGCTAGCATGAACTCTCTCATTTTTGATACAGTGCTCTGAAAATACACAAAGAAGCAATCGCCTCTTGACTACGTGCGACTTTCCTTAGGTCACATCAAAGGCTTTGAATATTGATTTCTCGAATTAGATGATGTCGTAAAAATAACAAAATTCATAATTTTCTGGATAGGGCTGAATCTGAAAAATGCTTATGTAGAGTCTTCGGATGGAATATTAGTAAAATATACAAAATAACTCTTCATGGTAACAGTGACCATCATTCAGCTCTAGGACTCATTACAGACGGACGTTCGAGTGTCGAAACGTGACCGAATGAAAAACACTAAAGAGAGAGAATAGATAGAATTGGTTCCGAATTTTTGACAACCTTCCATCGCTGATCTAACTTGAATAGACTGGTGATCGATCGTTCTATATAAGGTTAATAGAGGATTAAATCAGAAGAAAGTTAGCATGAACTCTCGTTAACCATGCTGTTATACTGGCTGATAGAACACTAAAACGGCAACTAGTCGGTCAGAAACTGACACTGATCATCGATTCCATCTATGAGAGGGTAATATGTATAAACTGTAGCTGCGAAATATTTTAGTTAATGATATTTTTCAAGCTATCAGGCAAGAAGCAACGAAATTGAAACTTAATGAATACAATTTGTTTTTCTCTCTCTCTCTCTTTAGGGTGACATTAAATTCAAAGAAACACTGTTCGATGGATTTGACAAGATGCCTCAAGCGTTTGTGGGTCTCTTCAAAGGTGACAACACGGGCAAGACCATTGTCAAAGCGAGCAACTATCCATAACTGTATCTTTCATAGATTGCATTGTGATATCAATTAGATTTTTCATTTTGCATTCAAATGATTCTATACGCAAATAAAACTTGAGAGTGCTACTAATTATATAATTTGTTCATTCGAGTTGAGATGAAAATGATTGATGGAAAAGAGTCTGAATTATCAATGATGTTCGATGAGCACGAATGCTAAAAGATATTGTTTCAGAGGAAAAATTAAGTATAAAACTATTATGATACGCGTTCTTTTCTGAATGTTTATTTAAAAGAAGAGTTAATTCAGACTGTCATCCCCTTTTCAAGGAGCGTTATCACAAATGACAATTGACATTAAAATTACAAAGATATAATAGAATGAGACAAACGCTGCTACAAATTTAGACAAATATAAATGATTCGCATCTGATCAAATAATCGGATGCGAATGCCAGTTGCGTAAGTACTTCTTTTTTAGGACTAGTCAAAGACGAGAATGATGTGTTTTGTATCATTGATGGGCCTTGTCACATATTTGCATCGCTAAAAGAGATTTCTTGATGACGCGTCGTTTTCAGTCGCTATCCTACGCTATGATATCAAGCTTTGTGAAATGAAATGCGTGTTGCATTTGCTGAGTATGTCCGTAAGTTTCAAGTCAAGTGAACATTTTTTTAAATACTTGACTTGATGGGTGTGCTCGGTATGGGAGTTTCTTAGACGCCCACACTCTCGGCTACGCCATACAATAAGTGAAAGAAAAAAATGGTATTATCATGCAAAGAATAGATGATTGAATGGATGGTTCACCGAAACGAATGAGAAAGGTAATACATATAATACACAGAGATCAATAAAGTATTAGTGAAGAGAAACAATGAAAAACTATACAATTCAATGTATATATAAACGATTGGGTCATTAAAAGAACCTTTTATAAATTTGAAATATCTTCTAAGGATGATGATGCGATAATATCAAAATTATTTAGAACATGATTATTTGATATGCAGAATTATTCTAAAGCAATGGTGACTCAGAATACTTTAGAGCACACTATCAACTGATATTGGACAAATAAAACTCATAAAAACGTGTTTTTTTATTTCAATGTCTTCATCATGAAACTTATATTTGTATTTGCTTCTCTGATAAGAAAATATTATCTTGAGTATATTGTATAACTGTCTTGCGACCTACTAAGAAAAATTAGCAAATCACGTGATAGGTTCAAAGCATCAACTAATGAAAAGTATGTGAAATTAACTGCACAATGGAAGAGCAGAAAGAATCAAATGAAATATTCTCAGTATTGATGCATAATCTATTTATTCGTCTAGTCTGAGCAAAATATGAAAATGTTTTAACATTATCAGAGAAGGCAAATAGACCGCTATAGTTCAATTGATTCTATTCAAGCAGCATGGTTTATTCATTTACGACATGATTAAAAAACGTTGTTAATTTTTCGCTATATCACTTTTAGACTTGTTTCTTTCTTCTAACAATATTGAATTTAGTATGTCCAATCCTGGATTGCTTTTTTCTATCCGTTTTTCATTATATGATCTTGACAACTTTCCATGCTTATTAATGCCGAAACAACAATACAATAATTTCAATAGTTCTAAAAAAATGTCCATACTCAAATAAATCAGCAACAAATTCTAGAATGTGTTAAGAGTTTTAATTATATAAAAAATATATTTTCACACTTAACTGATGACAACTTTCTTGGAAATACAGAAATAATCATAAACAAAAGCAAAAGTTCTTGAAAATATCTATGATCACATAAGTATTAGAAATACGAAAGGAAAACGTATAACGATAACTATGCTACATCGTAAGTAGATCAGAATCCACTTTAAACTTTGAGAAAGATATTAGATAAACTAGTTAAACAAATAGATAATAGAAAATGGCATAATCTCTCACGTATACAGAAAAAACGTAGTCGTGTGTCGTTAAATATATCGCTTTTTTATTATTAAAAAATGACGTGTCATTCTGATAAAAAATCAGAGTTGAGTGTGGGTGTGAGCTTAAGTATGCAGGTGTACATCTTCTGCTTAACGACATTGACACTCACACCGTGGTTTATTTTCTTCATTCGATCGAAGTCATAATAATTCTTTGTTAATCATTATATTATCTAAAAAATGACTTAAAATATTGATTCGAAATTTTTTGTTCTTCTCTTTTCGCTGATGTTATTCGTCAGAATTTAAGTTGATGATGTTCTTTCTTTATTAACATTGATTAACAAAATAATGTCTTAAGTAGTATTCTTATTAAAAGTTTTAGCAACGTGTTTGAAAAGACCAAAGTTATTGGTTGATAATCATGTGTAAATTATTATCTATTTATACTTTTTTTTTGATTTCAAAACTCGAACTAATCAGTAATATTCTACAATTTTCTCCATTAACAGTAAACATCTGTTACGTTTTAATGTGAAATTAGTTCACCGGGTGTTCAATTTTTTATCTTTAGACATAGAAATAATTTTTTCATAATTTCTTGAATACTTCATGAGTTTTTTTCCGATGAGGGTGTGGGTGAGTGTGGATACGGCTTTAGAGAAGACCCACATCCATTCTTATTGAGAAGAAACAATGTCTGAAGCAAATCATGAGCAAGTCCGTCTATTTGTAGAAAATTATATTTCCGTAATTAGTTAGGTGTGGGTGTGAATCTTTTACTCTCCCAAACCCACACCTACACTCTCGAAAGAGCAGTTAATCAATTTGTAATCTTACATGCCGATCTACTGAAAACCGACTCTGTCTGAATTGACCCCATTAGACTGGTACCACTACCACTATGTTACAAGTGTAAAATGAAATATTTACCTTAACATTAGGATGTGGGTGTAGGTGTAGATCACCAACTTACTCACGCGCGCTCCAATCTCCACCTCCACACTCACATGCACACTCACATCCTTGAGTATATTTTATACGGAAAAGGGGTAATTTTTGTGTGTCTTTCAATAAGACTTCGTACACCATTCTACAAGATATCAGATCAATTCTTGCATAACTTTGTAGTACTCAGGGTTTACTTAAAAACCATACGAGCTCGAATTTCGTAGGATCCATTTCTTGGGAGATGGATCCCTACAAAAATCATTATTTTGTGGAAGGTCTTCTGAACAATATGAACTATCTACAGAACTGAATTTTTTATCAGAGTAAATAATCAGTGAGATCTCTCTATAGCTAAAATCTTAACTATCTCACATGATTCATTCATGAAATATGTATATGCGCAAAATCCCGAAGAGTGAGCATTCGGCCGTGTACCTACCAGTATTGACCAACTCATCAGTAGTTCATCCATTTGAACTCATCTTGTTTTTTTTGGTAATACAACATTATGATCTCTATTCACAGTAGAAGTTTCAAGCCGAATGTATGTATCCTTGATGAGATACAGATATCACAAAAACTCGCGAAAAATGTGCTTTTTCTGACGATAGTGCCCTCAAAAGTATTTAAATATAGCGATAGAGGAACAATATTGCTTCAAAAAGCTTGCGTAGAAATTTTTAAAAATCTTCCCTATACAACATATTTTACTTGAGCAAGATCTGACGACCTCGATTGAGCAAGTTTGGCTGTGGCTTTTATGGACTGGTCCTAATATGAAACAATGCCGAATTAAATGCTTTTTCTAATGAAGATAAATTATACTAGCAAAAGTTCTAAAAGTTATGCGTTTTCATCAAATACTGAGCCAATATGAATTACCTAAAAAAATACTCAAGATTTTATAAGATCTCTATGATTTTTTTTTATAACATTTTCCCTTCAAAACGACTTTTACTATTTAAAATTATCCTTGAATTTGGTACCAAAAAACTCGTCTCGCTTCTCTTCATAAAGTTACCAATACAAAGTCTATGACCAGTTAGTAGCCCATTTTCTTATGCTCTCATCCACTGACCATAGATGTAACTCGTGTCTCACAGCCTATTCAGAAATGTTTAGCTATTTTCCTCATATGGTTTCAGAGATATTCATTAGTTACTTCTTAATTAATTTCAATTAAGTAGCAGCTGAAAGAGCCAACATTTTTATATATGTCTATGCTGAAAAAATCTATTCAGAAAAACCACCCCGCTAAAAAATCGAAGTCAAATGAAGGATGAGTATGTCCCGTTTTGCCTGATTTTGCCGATATCAAGGGGAGAAAAGCGAGACTTGAGAAGTACGTACTTCACTTGTACTTCAAAAAACTGAAGTCTCACTTTTTTCTCGTTCTCCGAATTACACCAACTGGTATAATTTCGATCATTTTCTCCATGCTCTTGCCATTTCTGTAAAAACTCTATAAAAAAAATGAAACCTTTTTAGATTTTAACATAGACTTGCAGACAACACTTTGGTCTATCTATTGATGAAAACATATTTTTTGTTCGACGTAGAATAGTTGAATAATGGCTGAGATAAATCGATTTCTTTTAGGAGTGATCTGAATTACACCAGCTGACTATACATGAGTTTAAGAGTTTGAATTTCAGACGGCTACAAAATATCATAGAGCTATTAATTATGATAGAAAACTCTTCAATCGAGTAATACTCTGCATGAATCAAAAAGCAACAAAAATAAAACAAAATGTGTTGTAGTCATTATTTATGCTGAAAGATTAAATAAACCTACGAATCGTTATCTTATTGAGTCATGCATAGAAAGATGCATTTTTTCATGGCTGCCTCCTGGTATTAAAATTTTTTCGGAAGGCAATTGTACTGGCATACTTTTAGGGCCAAAAATATAAAAAGATTTTATCAAAAATGATCATTTTGCCCATTTTTTTCTTTTAAATAATACATTGGAGACTCTTTAGACATGACTTGTATTTACGAATCTTGTTCTATGATGACATCTATCGTCTATATCGTACTATTCGCTACTGTCTCATATCATCAATAATGCTCTTGTAATTCATTAGAAAGATTTTTTCCTTTTTTTTTTTGCTAAACAAAAATGGTCAAAACATATATTGGACAGTGGTTATATACGTTTCCTTGGTCTCAAGTTGTTAGTGGTTTTTGGCAAAAATTTCCAAATCCTTATACGTATGAAGTTTTTATTAAACTGATTTGATTCATTTGAAAATAATCTATTTTATATATTAGAGGTCATGTTTTATCTGAAGATACATATTATCGAACAGTAACTGAAGATCAAAAATTAATATCAAAACGATTATTAGCTAAAACAAATAAACTTCCACGTTGGGGTGAACGCATATTTTATCGTGGTTCAGGTTCAACTATAGGATTTATTATTGAAGAATCCGTATGTGATTTAAAACAAAAAATTTTTACAACAAATACAGTGAATATTAATCTTAAATCATTAATGGTAAATAATTAAATTTTTTTTCTTTAATGATTTAAAAAATTTTTATTTTCTAGACTGTAGAAGAAACATGTGTATATCGACCAGATAAAAATGATGAATCAAGAACAATATGTGAAAAAAAAGTTGTTGCACGAGGAGAATTATTTGGTTTTAAAACAACATTAGAAACATTTGCTATACAACGTTATAAAAAAAATCAAGAATATGCAAGTCTTGGATTAGAATTTATACTTCATAAATTATATTTACCACAATTGCCACCACCACCTATTACTGGTATTAAAACACCAGATACTCGAACATTTTCAAGAAAATTAAGTGATAAAGCAAAACACTTATTAAAATCATCAAATAATGATACACTTTAGTGTTAATATGATTTTTTTCTTGTTTTCTTTTGTTTATATTACCCACAAAAATTCAAGCTGTTATTGTTATAATTGTTTTCTTTTTTACACTAGCATTGAGCATTGTTTTTTTTCCTCTTTCTATTTATAGATATTGAATATTTATATATATTTGATAGTAAATGGATGAAATGATGACATCATTTCTAACCAAATTGATATTATGTATTTGATTTACTAGAAATCAAATTAATGAACTATGTGAGTTACTTTTCTTTTATATGATTATTTTTAAAATACTATTATCTCTATGGATAGATTCGTAGTTTACATTTTTCAAATATAATTTTGTTAAAAATTACTTTTTATTAACTATTGATTTGACGCTGAAGAATGAATCAGATATTCTACATTGGTCACGTATTTCTCATCACTTTTTACTTTCGATCAACCATCTGATAACACATTCATGTCATTATGATGAAAATAAAATGCAAGGATTAATTTGATTACACGTGTAGTTTTGAGATATATTCTTACCGATGATTGCTGGAGCGAATCGAAATGGAGATTTGAGTAGTTGAAAAAATTGTATATTCGGAGAATTAGTTTTATAGTTATCATCGAAGTTTTTGAGGAAAAGATTTTTTGGAACACGACCTTTCTTCATTAAACTGCACGATCACGAAGCGGAGAACAGCAAGGCTTTCAAAAAGCAATAAACAAAATGGCTGTGGCGCCTATCGTAAATTAAGTACACTTTAATGAACCGAAACCGTAGCCTCTCAAGAAAGATACTTTTTAGAAAAATATATAGCTACTTAATCATTAAAGTAGTTCTATATTTTTTTCGAAATAGCTACCAATTGTTTTTATGATAGTATATCAAGAGTGCCAGATTTAAGACAAATAGTTACATGAATTCGTTCATTAAACGAAAAGTCGTTACATACAGATTAGGTACTCAAATCATTTAGTAGCTGTATAATTTTCTTCAACAGCTATCAGTTTTTCTCAATAAATATCCTCCTATTTGAATTGCCACAATAACGTTTAGAATGCAGCAGATTTTATTAAGATTTAAAGTATTAAAATTCTTTTTTTCTTCTTCCACCCCCTTGCTTGAAAAAAAGGGCAGTTAAAACAAATAAGACGCTGAGTTTTTATCAAATAGTTAAAAACGACTATTAAATAGGGTATATTCCATTTTCGCCGAAAAAATTTTTCGCCGAAGACGAATTTCGCCGAAAAGAAATTCGCCGAAAAGAAGTTCGCCGAAAAAAAAGTTCACCGATTCTATTTTCGCCGAAAGAA